ACCGTACACATTTAGTGCTTGCATTCTRTCATCATGGTTTATTGTGCTTGTTGCAGTTTCCTCATAATCTGACGGACACGAATACGGGAATGAGCAGTATTGTCATCGCGTTTCAGCTACCGCTGAGCAATAGTAGTGATGTGGAAGATTTAAAGAAAGTAGTCATGGCTGAGAGTCCAGAAAAACGAGTCCAGGTGATTATAAATACATGAATGATTGGAAGGGATAGAACAGATGAATAAATGCATAAATGGAATGATTTGTGCATGTACAGTACATTTATTGATGATGTTAGTATAGACCCCTTGCAGTTCATGGAAATACAGCTCCAACATTGGATTCTAATTTCCATGAGGGCAAAAATCTCGTGTTCTGTCCTTCAGATSAAGCTGCTTCGACGTCACTGCACGCAAGGGGTCTAAGAATGATTGAATTTCCCTGTCGCATAATTACATTCTGTTGTTTTAGCGCTAAGGATTATGGTTGCCAGAGGAGATCAGAGTTACTGCATTTCAAATAAAATGTAGATGATCAATCATTGATGATATACATCAAAAATCGATATTTTACTTGCGGGAAGAATATAAATAGGGCCAAATTTCGAGTCTTTCTGAGCATCTATCCACAATGTAAACATACTCTGACGTCATTATGCTATARGGCAATGGAATGATTGAAGGATCGAATGTRCGTAATGAGCTTTCAGATAAATGTGTAGATGAATTGCTCTTTAACGCTTCATCTAATTTTTCTCCTTTTACAGGAGGATACGTTTCTTGCATATGACGCTCTGATGCTTATTGCTAAGGCAATGATTAACGCATCCACTGATAGTCGCTGGAATCAATCTTTGACAAACGCTTCTGCAGCTACKAGAAACGATGTATTGTTAGAGCATATATTAAAGGTATTAAAATCAARGATCAATTTGAAAAATAAAAAAATTACCGTCATTCATCCTTTAGAACCAACGGATGACAATTGTCTTTTGCCTGTTCCTGTGAGAGTGAACTACAAGCGACATCTTAAGATTGTCATTGTTGGATTCCTGAGGATGGTCCTTATTAAAACGTACTCCTCATGACCTTATTTAGCCCTATGAAAAAGTTAATTCATGTTTATACAAGTTGCTTTTATAATGCGTGAAATTTTGYGCTGCATAACTTCCTTATTGCTTTGATAGACAAAAGTGACTGGCGTGACGGGTRTAACGCAGATCAATCAACATTTGGAGCGTGAAGTTGGAAAGCTGCAAGTGCTGAATTTACAGAACAATAAGCCTGTGCAGGTATTCCCCTATTCTTTGTTTTATTTCCCTTCTTCTTTGCCATTTACTGTCTTGAGTCTTTGAGTTTTTTTTCTTTTTTTCAATTGTTTTCTTTTTCTAGTCAATATTTTTCTATCTGAAAATATTACTTTACTTTATTTTATTTTTTTGCTTTCCTTTCTTCCTTTGGTTCCCCATGTCAAATTGAAAGGTAACTTTGTGTCTTTAAGTCGAAGCTAGATGATTGGTGAGCTTGCAATGATAGACACATCTATGCCTGTGAACAAATGTTTCACTCACCACACGCTCACCCCTCGTCTCGCTTCTACTTCAAGATGACAGGAAAAAATGCAAAGGAGACTATTGGAACTACTTTTTCTGGATAACGGGATTACTTCTTTTTCACTTCGTCTTTTTCAGATTGGTGAATGGAGTCCTGGCACTGGAATAGTTCTAAATCAACCAATGTCAGTAAACTTTGAAAATATCCTATGTAAACAGCCGCTATTAAAGGGGCATACCCTGAAAATCACTACTGTTGAGGTAATACAAAATAATGATATMGTTAATAGTTTCTTGGAATTGCACTTAGTGTAAATGGAAAAAAAATGGTCCAATTTTAATTAATGAAGTAATCAGCTAGAARCAAAGAAGGAGAAAGAGGCGACTCGGAGAGAACTTCATATATACTTTCTCCACCACTTCTGTAAAATTGAGGTGTATGYATAATATAGAGGTGTCTGCTTTACATGTGCACACAATGAAGCATATAGGAGTGTCTGTAAAAGTAGAGGTGCCCAAAATATAGAATCTTTTTTATATTCAAAGTAGGGGTAACATATCAAACAAAAGCGAATTAAAAATTATATATTTTTTAATAAATAGATTTTAACTTATTTCCAAGGCGCATCCATATATAATAAGGTACAAGAAGGATGATGGCACAACAGGATACAAAGGCTTTTGTATTGACCTACTTAATAAAATATCAAGTGATCTAGGATTCAAATACATCATCGAATATTCACCTGATRAGATGTACGGTGCATTAATCGATGGTCGATGGAATGGAATGATTCGGCAATTAGTCGACAAGGTATGATTCATCTAATTGGTCAGCCGAATTTAGGAAGGAGAAGTTGATCAAATAATGCACAATGTTTTTCTACATACTATATAATATTGTAAAGCAAATCTAGAATTCTAAATTTCTTCACCATTTTTTTATCATCTTATATTAGAAAAGCGATATGGCCGTAGCAGCATTGACAATAACAGAGAGCCGTGAAAAAGCTGTTGATTTTACCGTAGCATACCAGCACTATACAGACGACCTGATTTTCTCCCGCCCTGAAGACGAGGACAACTTGTTTATCTTTGTTGATCCTCTTTCGCACTCCATCTGGTTCTGTCTTGCTGGAACTGTATGCTTCGTAGGGATTGTGACCTTCCTCTTGAATTATTTCTGCCCATATGGATGGAAAGACGAGAATGGTAAAGGAACAGCTAAAGAGTTCTCGTTTTTTAATAGTTTATGGTTCTCGCTAGCTTGCATTCTTCAGCAAGGAGCTGCTGATCGTCCAAAGGCTTTGTCAGGTAAAAAAATGGAAAATGATCGRTTTCTGAAGTAGTTTCCTCGAGAATCGAAACATAATGTATATGTATAGATTATAACACTCCASTTTACAKCACTAAGAGCCAACTTGATAGTTTCGATGATAATTAACCGAGCCTTTGTAAAGCTAGACAGGAGTTGAGCCTGYAGTGATAGATATCTCACCTAAAATAATTATTCACACTTATTGATMATTTCTAGCTTAACTGATGTTTCGATTTGTTGAAAAGATGCTCGGCASACCCCAAGGCTGGGTACGYCTCACCCAAACTCAGATACTGATAAACAGATCATTATYAAGTTTAAAACCTGTCACCTCATTTAAATGAAAAGACCAATATCAAGTTTAAAACCATATTATGGTTTTGATAAGTCTATTCACATAAATTGTACTTTAGGACGCATCTTCGCGGGGGTCTACTGGTTCTGTATTCTTGTGTTTGTCTCGACATACACCGCAAATCTTGCTGCTTTCTTCACTGCAAAGAGTGCTGCAACGACGATCAAGAACATTCAGGTATTTTTGTACATTGTATTATTATTAATTAGACAATTTTCTGGGCAACGTGCAAACAGGCGCGGGTGGACAAAAGTTGTAAAATAAATTTATTTCCAACTATTTATTTTATAGCTTARTTTAATTTTTACCGCAAGTACCGCATTTACTGCAAGTATTCCTGCGGTCACAGGTGTACGCTGTTTTCATAAGAACAAATGTTCAATCTCACACCATCTCTGATTAATCCTTTTCTGGATAATCRCTTTCTGAACAAAAATACAGAAGTTTATTGTCTTGAAAAACACACTTTGATATTTGACTCCTTGGGCAAAAAAACGGTAACGTTTTTCTTTTCTAATTTTTTTCTTTCATTTCTTATTCTTTTTCTTGTTCTTGTTCTTGTTCGTCTTCTTCTTCTTCTTCGTCTTCCTCCAGCCTTTTTCCACACTGGTTTACCTATCTACCAATTACTTACTATACGCGTTTCTTTTAGGACGTAATAAATTCCGATTACAACATAGGAGTTACAATGGGATCTGCTTTATACTCCTTTTTTATGAGAACCGATTACGAAAATTACCAGCAGTTATGGTACAGAATGAGGGCCAGGAACACGTTTCCAAACAATACCATGGATGGCATTGAATGGGCAAGGAATAAAAAATACGTACACGTTGCAGATGGACCTATTTTGAAATATGCAGTAACCCAGAAACCYTGCAACCTCATGACCGGTAAGTGAAGCTGCAAGTTAAAAGCATACGTGACAAGTACAGCACCGTATGAATTTCACTCAGCTGCCAGTACTTCTATTTACCGTTTAGATTAAATGATCCAGGCCTGCCTTTTTTGCCTGTTGGGATAGGGTGGTTTGGATATTCTTTGTGTAGCTGGCTTATAAGAAATCAATATTCGCATGAAGTTATCCTTTAACAGCATGATGCATATATTATCAGGGAGCTTGGAATCACATATCAACTTTTTACAAATAGCAGCAAAGGCTTWATTTGATACAATTCTAAATCAATATTTATTTGTTCTACTGCAATAAATGTACACWGCAGCCATGTTGGTTGTACTTCAGCATAATATTTCTCATTAGTGTCCACTGCTCATGTAAACAACAATCAACATGGACGCCATTCTTTTATCTTTCGATTAAAAAGAGAATGATTGAAAACGGAAAATGAGCAAGCATCTACAGTGTCACCGATATAGGCCTGACAAATCAGTTTTTTGGTATCTTCTTATGACAAGTAAATGTTTCTTTGCAAATTTCACAGCACCAGGTCTCAGTACTCCAAAAGGACTTGCCTTTGCACTGCAACCSGGGAGCATCTACACAAAGAACATTACACTCAGTCTTCTRCGCATGCGCGAGAAGGGAATTCTGGACGAAAAGCAAGACTACTGGTGGGTCAAACAGTCCAAATGTCCTCAGTTGAATGTCAACTGTAAGTCAACAAATASATAGTAACAAAATCTTCTTATGATTTCAAAGATACACTGAAAAAGCGATTTCAACGTTATGTACAAGAAGACTGTTTAAATTTAAAGGATCATTTCTGTACATAGAATGGAAATTTTGATATTATTTTAAATCTCTTGAAATTTGTCGGACTTGGACCTTAAAGGAGTTTCTAAACTTCATATTGTAGGACGTCAAAATAATTTCAACTTTTACCCCTCCTTTGACACACAGAAAACACAATGTTTGAGGAAAACTAGTTTCGTCTATTCGACCTTATCAATTCCTCTACAACTGTTGTAATCCTAAATTGCTTTTAACATCTTCGTAAGATGTTCGATAATGATGCTATAAATTTCCTGCAAGATGTGTCTTAAAACCAAGTGGTGTCCCCCAGGGCACAAAACTTGGTTCACGACTTTGTCTTTTCTTTTTCAACATGCTTATGTCGTAGTGTGAACAGGCCGTAATACGTCAGTGAAAAGAGGTTCTGGTTTTGGTATATCCTTGTATAATGTAGGGGACCAYGTCATGTCGGCAGCTCGATGGACGCGGTTATCTGGAAGTACTCCTTTCTAAGCACTACCTCTTTCCATTAGATTTTAACTTCGATAATTTCAGTTGAAGTGAAGTTCCGTTGTTGCATTTAAATGTTGTGTTCATTTTCATTATTATTGTTTTTTCACAGCGTTAGAAAGTAAAAAGGTTCGGCTGAGAAACATGGTTGGCGTGTATATAGTCCTGGGAGGGGGCACAGTTCTTGCATTCATCGTACTTATCATTGAGATAATATGGAAACGTACAGCCGAAGAAAAAGTTGAAAAATTCCGAGAGAAAACTACCAACAAACTAATGAGGTGAATAAATGATATGCGAATATTCTTGAACAATGAATTTTAAAACATGATGACAACGATAATGATCATTTAAGAATTACAACTCGGTGGTGAGTGGACTACGAGCTTAAAAGCCCATGAGGCCATAACAGTTGGACAAAAGAATGAACTATAAAAATGAACTATATATAACAAAATGTTTCTTATGTTTTTGCACCTAATCTTTTATCAAATTTGCATAAATTATCTCCGACGTCGTTTGACACACTTGGCATGTTTGGCAAATGAAAATCAATTCACTACACACGCTGTTGAAAACAAACTGGTTTGAGCGAAACTTAAAATGGTCTTTTACACATCGATATGACCGACAATATTTCTAAAAGAAAATCAAAGTTGGCACTTTTCAGTAGTCTAAGACTGTRGTTGAAAATAKACATCGAGTAGCGCAACCAAACAGATGTAGGATTCATTTTTCGTAATAATTTTTAAAATATTGTCATCCACAGAACAGCAATTCAGCCTTTCTCTAAAAACAATAACGACTCAAGAACATGACCATGTACTTAATCTTCTTGGTAGGGAACTCACAGAACCGGAATTAAACGTATAGGTGCTGTACAAGCCAATGTACATTGTGTTAAAGTTTAGTAAYCTTAAGCAAGATGTAGCTCAAGAGRCAGTGTATCTTGAACATTTGATAATCCGCAATTTTYCCTGTAAATATATTTGCCTTGTTTATCTCAGTGTTATAAAAACAATAAAGCTGTAAGGCACGAGTGCTTTGTGTATAAAGTATGCATTATAGTGGAAATGTATAATCATTGAACTCACATTCTCTTATACGAACTTAATGAAATCAAAGTGTGCATTAAGGGACAATGAATGACTATTATTCATTCATTGGCATTGCCCCTATGAAAAAAGAAACTTATCGAGTGCTCAAAATTACCACTGCGATACAATATCTCAAAGATTGTTTCGCCTTTGCAGCACTYGGTAATAGAATAGCTTGTTCTTCACCTCCTTATAAGGACTGCGCAATATTTATCAGGGCACGCTTTTCTTGAGAAGTTTTCTAATCTGACACCGTTGATTTATCAGTTTCCAATTAAAATTCTAGTAAATTTTAGACGTTGCTCCCCTCTTTAAGCGCATAAAACCAGATGTTGCCCCCTAGCCTCTCTGGATTCTCAACTCCCCCTCCTCCTGATAAATATTGTGCAGTCCCTTATTTCGCATATGCATGCCGGCGAAASAAAATGAATATTTTATTTTAACAAAGGACAATCCCATTAAAGATCTCACACTGAAGACATGAAATACTTGGAGTAAGGACCTCTTAAATAATCTGTTGACATCTGTTGATGGATTCAAAGAAGATATATTTTATTGCTTTTTTNAACACTCAATTTCGTCACTTCACGCAATGATAATAAATTACATAACATGTTGTAAAAGTTCTCAATGTTTTCAAAACCTGTCAAAATACATAAAGGGGCACTTTTTTATTTCGAAAAAATAGTATTCTATCCGCATCCCGCGGATTTACCAGATAGTGGGACATTTAGTCCAATATGGTGCCTAGGATAAGATTTGTGGAAATCAAACATAAACAATATTTTCACTACCGGAAATAAAGCATGAAATAAGCATAACAATAGATATCCCATAATGCCTTGCAGTGTATAAATAAGCGTTATCTGCACGCTTTGTTCATTCCGATTCAAACCACGGACACATACTGGTTCTAATTCTGCTCTTGTAAGACCAACACGCCATGTCTTCCCAACCACCTCCTGTTGAACAACGTCAAAGAGCTGTAGCTGCTCAAGACGTGCTAAACGAGGCGAGACAACAAGCTTTACCTCCGCCGCAAGCCCAAAATGCTCGTGAACCAGCTCGTGAGCCGAACGAAAGAACCGGCTATGCACCCACATTTTCCGGCACTGGAGATGTCTTCGCGATCGGTCCGGTTGATTCCTCCTTTTTCGATGCTTATTCTACGTTATTTTAGTTTTTCTACACGTGCTTAGTAGAGGATACATTTTCGTTGTTGTCCTGGAGAGACCAACAATTTGCCATACGCCCGGGTGAGGCTATTATTTATGTTTTGGCAGTGCTTAAAGTGACACTGTTTTGGTCCGGGAGCGACCTAACATTCTTACGCCCTGGTGAGGCTAACTCTACGCTATTTCTGGCTTTTCGGCATGTGATTAGTAGAGGATATTTTGTGTTGTTGTCCTGAAGAGACCAACAATTTTTAGTGCGCCCATGTGAGGCTATTTTGTTTTGGTCCGGGAGAGAACTAACATTCTTACGCCCTGGTGAGG